ATTTATAAAATTTTAAGGTTGTGGCTCAGTGGTACAGCGCTTGTCTCGCTTGCGTGAGGCACTGGGTTCGATCCTTAGCACCATATAAATAAATAAAGGTATTGTGCCCATCTACAACTTAAAAAAAAAAAAAAAAAGAAATGGCAAGACTTGATTTAAAAAAAAAATAAAGAGAGAGAGACAAAGAGAGATATCTTGGGCTCCTAAGCCCATTTCCTAATCTTGCTGTGTGTCGTTTGTGCCCTCTCCCAACCCCTTCACCCAGTAGCTCTACCACTGAATTATACCCCCATTCCTAACTGTGCTTTTTTAAAAATTCATTTGTGGTAGTGGGGATCAAAGTTGGGGCCTAATGTATGCTTGGCAGACACTATCCGCTGAGCTATATCCCCAGCCCTTTTTAAATTTTATTTTGAGACAGGCTCTAAGTTCCTAAAGCTGTCCTTGAACTTGAAATCTTCCTATCTCAGCCCTTGAGATGCTGGGATTACAGGCATGTGCCATGGTATCTGGCTCTAAATTTGCTTTTTTTAAAAAATTTTTTTATTAGTTATTGATGGACCTTTATTTATTTATTTGTTTATATGTTGTGCTGAGAATCGAACCCAGTGCCTCACACATGCTAGGCAGGCACTTTACTACTGAGCCACAACCCCAGCCTTTTTCTTTTTTTAATATTTATTTTTCAGTTTTAGGTGGACACAATATCTTTATTTTACATTTATGTGGTGTTGAGGATCGAACTCAATGCCTTGTGCATGCTAGGTGGGCGCTCTACCACTGAGCCACATCCCCAGCCCTAACTGTGCTTATTTAATGTTAGATTTCCTAAAGGAAACCTTAGGATTCTTTCATGTGGCTACTTTTTTTTTTTCCTTCTGAGATCCCTTAAAATGAAAACAAAGGTATTTTCATCAATCATAAAATAATGAATGGCATTGGGTTCTGGAAATATTGCAAATGGTTTAAAATCTGATTCATCTGAAGAAGAAATGGTCCGTACTTTTGGAAAAACCCCCTTTTTAATTTTTATTATTATTATAAAATACCTCATGTGTCCTATCCTAGTAGTGAGTGGTCAGATTTCTTTCTGGAGATGAGACTTGGCCCCGCCTCTGGCCCTCACCTGTACCTCCAGATGTACCTCTAAGGCTGGATCCAGCCTAGACCTCTTGATGGTGTGGAGGAAGCCTGGGGCAGGCAGGCAGGGGCTTAGACAAAATGCAAAGAGCCCAGTGCCCTGCCCTGAGGTTTAGTGGCAGCTCATGATTGTGTGTGTGATTCTATCAGTGACTGCGTGTAGTGCAGGTGTTTCTGTGTGTAAACTAGTAACCCTTGGTGGAACTTTTTTTTTTCTTAAAGATGATTTAAAGGGCTGGGATTGTGGCTCAGCAGTAGAGCGCATGCCTAGCATGGGCGGGACCTGGGTTCGATTCTCAGCACCACATAAAAAAAAAAAAAGGCATTGTGTTGTATCCATCTACCAAAAAAAAAAAAAAAGATTCTCTCTCTTAAAAAAAAAAAAAAGATGATTTAAAAAAAATTTTTTTTAGTTGTAAATGGACAATAATACTCTTTATGTGGTGCCAAAGATCAAACCCAGTCCTTCACACATGCTAGGCAAGTGCTCTACCACTAAGCTACTTTTATTATCTTCATCTTACAGATGAGACAATTGAGGAACACGAGAGGTTAAAAGTAACTGGCCTAGGCTACACTTGCTGTTCAATAGGTGGGGGAGGGTGTGTGTGTGCCCACTGTTGCCATACTGATTTGTTTTAATGGATATACAGAAAGAGATTTTCTCACTTCTCAAGAGGTCACCCACATTCAGGGAGATACCGAGGTGGCTGCTTGGTCTTCTCTACAGAACAAGCAACAGATTTGGTCCAAGAATATAAGTTGTATATCGGCAGCTCCTGGGGTCAAATCTAGACTCCAGGCATTGCATTTGGCCTTTAGAGTATGAAACATAGTTTGTAAATAGCTGCCAACATTAAGAAATATGGAGCTGGGTGCAATGGTGCAGGCCTGTAATACCAGTATCTCTGGAGGCTGAGGCAGGAGGATCACCAGTTCAAAGCCAGCCTCAGCAACTTAGCAAGACCCAGTCTCTAAATAAAATGTAAAAAAGGACTAGGGATGTGGCTTAGTGGATAAGCACCCTTGGGCTCAATTCCTGGTGCCAGAAAAAGAAAGAAAAAAAGATGAGGAGTTATATAAGTTTCCTGGTCCACGTTCCTCATTGACTGCAATCACAGTAGGGTAGCAGTTGACCCTGTGTGTCCCAGTCCCCGCCACTCCCTACTGTTTCCCTGAGTGTCACTTGCTGCTTACCATTAGTTTTGCGAAGTCTCTTTTTCACACACCTTGGCCGCTTAGCTCATTTATTGAACTTAGCTGTCTCTAGAGATATTTATATTCCTGAACATTGTCTGAGCGGTTCTTTCAGGCTAAAGAGCTTGTAAACTGGGTGCACTACCCTCCTTAGGGCCCCAGGAAAACAGAAATTCCCCTAATGTCTCAATGCTCTGTGGTCAGGTGCCTGCAAGGGGAAGGCGAGTCTAGTCGTCTTCAAGAGCGGAGAGTTCCTGGTTGTCTGGACAGGCCATTTGCCCCTCACTATCCCACAAACCCTGACAAGGTTTTGAACCTGGCTCTCACCTTGGGGACTGTTGTCACAGAAAGCAGGCAGCCCCTTCTTCCCAGTTGTGTGCCCTCGTCTCTTTAGTTTTCTCTTAGATGGTGGGGATTCTTTGGCCTTGGTTGGGGGGCGGGGGGGAAAGACACACAACTCAGCTCAGGAATTGGATTGGTGACAGAAGTCACTGCTGATGCCCACTTCCACTGCTGCTGTTGAACGATTCCTGCTTCTGGCCAGAGGTGGTTCTCCCTGGTGATTGACTAGTTTCGATCTTTAGCTTGTGTTCCAGAAAATGGTCCCTGTCCTCTGTCTTCCTCTGAAATCTCAGAGGTGCTGCTCATGGTGGCTCATGGTGACCAGAGCCCCTGGGATTGGAGGGGCTCTTTCTGACTCTGGTTCAGCTCCTTGATGGCTAGTTTTGGCTTTTACCCTCCCCTCCCCTTTTTTTGTTTTGTTTTGTTTCATTTATAATTTTTTTTTTAATTGTAGGAAAATACATCAAGCACAAGTTTTACCATTTTAAGTTTCCAGCTCAGCGGTGTTAAGTACATTCACAATATAGTGCAACTGTTACCTCTGTCTAGTTCCAGAACCTTTTCAGCACCTCAAACAGAATCCCATGCCCATTAGAGATCACTTCCCACCTCCAACCTCAACCAGCTTTCTGTCCGGGTTTACCTGTTTTATTGTGACTTGGTTTTAAATTCTGTCATTTGCTTCTAAAAATTATTTTTGTGGTCTAGTGGGGCATGCCTGTGACCCCAGCAGCTTGGGAGGCTGAGGCAGGAGGATGGAGAATTCAAAGCCAGCTTCAGCAACTCTCGGCAATTTAGCAAGGCCCTAAGCAACTTAGTGAGACCCTGTCTCTAAATAAAATAGAAAAAAGGGCTGGGGATGTGGCTCAAGGGGATAAGAGCCCTTGGGTTCAATCTCTCGTACCCCCCCCTCCCCAATATTTTTGTCAAGTTGGAAGCGTGACAGTGTTACATGATCCAAATAGAAGACTTAACAAAGAATTAGCATCTGAGGATAGAAAATATGCCCCTCTTCTCACACCCGGCAGGTAACTTACCATCAAAAGGATGACTTCTAGAGTTTTCCTCTCACCCCCACGTATTTAAACACATTCAGCGTCCATTGCAATCCCTAGGAGGTTGGTTCCAGGCCCCCACAGACACCCAGATCCACGGATGCTCTAGCTCCTTATATG